TGATTGTAAGTTTCCTGAGGCCTCCCCAGCTATGTGGAACTGTGAGTCAACTACACTTCTTTAGTTTATAATTATCCAGTCTAGGTATGACTTTATAGAAGTGTGTACATGGACTAAGACAATACCCAACACAATTCTACCCAGTGACTGTTTTCATAGCAATGCTCAAACTCCAAGTTATCACTGATGCCTAAGTTGTAGAAACCTCAAACACACAGAGACACCAAGTTTCTTTGTGCCGATAAATGTAGGTCATTATGCCCTGTGTTAGTGTGACTACAGTAAGTAGGATTATATTGGCTTTGAAAATTATTCTTTGAATTAAATCACTTATAGGTACAGTGGATTATAAACAACATGGTATGTGCTGTTGAAATCCACTGCACTTCTCATGTGTGCTGTAATAAGGTACAACAGAATTTACAGTTTATACATCGAGGAACCCAGAGGGAATGTTCCAGCAAATAGCATGTAGAACTGTTACCTTTTCCATTTAAATTTTTCTCCAGCATTGGCTAGAAAAAATTTTACTTTTGCTTTATTTGGCAAGATCAGGATCTGTTCTTTACTAGTATTTCAGATTTTTTTTTTTTAAATCTTGTCATCTTAAAATTAAAAGATAATTATATAGGTCATCTAGTTTACCTCCTACTGTTTCCAATGGTAACGTTATGTCTATATATCTGGGCAATGTGAAACTCTCTGCTTTAATAAAAAGATCTGCAAAAACATTGCCTGTCAGAATGCATATATGGCATTTAATAAATTTCCAAGGCTAACATTGCTTATTTTTGTCAAATACTAAAATACTATCCTTTAACCTCTTGCACTCGTTTAATAGCCAAAAGTTTTTATATTATTGAGGATATGCTAAGGAATTGTTAGAGCAGTTTCACATAAGGAACTAATAATATATATAAGAATGACTAAAGTCAGAGAGGACCCAACAGCATATTAAGGAGATAACAAAGCCTTGAGATAAGGGATCGTTTTTTAAATTTATGTAAACTAAATGACGTAAAATAATTGTGAAAGTGTAAGGAACATACGTGTAAAAAACAAGATGATAAGTAGATACTAAAGAGCATTTGAAGTATTGCAAATCTTGGAGATCAGCTGGAACGTATCTATACAGCGCTGCTAAGAGGAAAGACTGCAGCTAGAAACATGAAGTTTTCCTACCAAGACACATTCTTCCAGTGCTTTTGGGAGAGTGAAGCAGCTATAAGTCAATCCAATGGATACACACAAACTATTCAACATGATCACTTTAGTCTCTAGTCATGGATTGGTGTTCAGATATGCTATACTAGTCAGTTCTTAAGAGGTTTATTGAGAGTGGAATGCCCATATCAGCAATTTTTTTCAAGTATAAAACTGCAACAATTTAATGTATTTGCATTTTGTCATAAACTAATCTCTTTTGTTTTTAGACAATAAAAACTGGCTTTCCCTTTCCTGTGATCTATCTTCTGTGATCCTTGGCTTTGTGGGATTGTCTCCTCAACTCAAAGGGAGACATCCTGGCTCCTCAGGGGAGTGGTTCATGAATGACAATCCTCTAAGCCCTACAGATAATTTATGTAAAAACAAAGTCCCCATGTATAAACAAACCAACAAATGAAAAAAAAGACATAGGTTTAGGAAGCATACAGATTTCTCTTAATGCTCTTAAATTCTTCTGGAGAAAAATACTATGGAAACCCATCATTTACTGCAGTCCAAATCTGCCATAAAAGCGATAGAAAACAATTTATGAAATTAAGAGACAAACTGTGTGATGTGAGCAATTATTGGTGTAGAAGTTCAGAGCAAAAGGACAACTGCTCTGAAAGTGATGAAATGACAAAAATTTCTTGAGTACCACATATGCTGAAATTTTTCTCAGCACCTTCAGTGAGTCATTTCATTTCGGTGAGCACTGTTGCTTATCTATTTCATACAGGAGAAAACTGAAGCTCAAATAATTGAAATGGCTTAGGGTACAAATTAGAAAATGGTAGAGTCAAAGTCAATGCAAGGCAGTGTGAACAAGCAAAAGGTTTTCTTTTTTCCATCTTGAACTAGAACTTCTAGCCTGGATGATCACAGGGCACTCATAACACCGCTGTCTCCACTTGACCAAGCCTGGGCTGGTGTAGAAAGTGTGGTAAAATACTGTAACCTATAATGTTTGAAACTCTAACAAATGTTTGGTCATGTTAGACTTTAGATTTTAGCCAGCTACTTTTTTTTAATTAAAAAATACTATTTTAAATAATTAGCATAATTTCAAGATGAATGTCTTCTGCAGAAAAGAATGAAGTAAAATATTTTACATAACTTGCAAAGTTCAAATCCACAGCACACAGAATAAGCAGCTGCAAATCTCAGCTCATTGGCTTTTAGAAAGCCAAAAGACTTCAGTCGAAGAAAGTCCAAGAAAAATCAAATGATTTACCACAAAGGCACACGGCCTGATGATTTTATAGCTAGTGTCAGAAACATCAGAAACTGGGGTCTTTTCATTTTGATCTTCTTGCTATGAATGTGGTTACTGATTTAGTAAAAATATAAAATTGTTCATTCTGTGTGGAACTGAATGGCATACATTATATCTTCTTACATTATGTGCTGTGTGAAATTTTTAGCAAGTCCATGTGGGTAAGAATGTATCAAGTCTTTCAGGTTATTAGGAGGCAAAGGGCCTTCGATTAGCTACAATGTATATGTTTCAAAACAAAATAGTCTCCAGCCAACCCTCTCTTGAATTATGCAGTATGGTATTTTCACCTCTATTCATGCGCATGTTTGATATTCAAAATTTTGGCTTCATTTGGAGAAGACAACAAAAACTCTGGCTTATTTATTTATTTATTTGACAAAGTCTCTCTCTGTAGCCCAGGCTTGAGTGCAGGGGCTCATTGCAACCTCTGCCTCCCAGGTCCTGGTTCAAGCAATTCTCCTGCCTCACCCCCTCGAGTAGCTGGGATTACAAGCATGCACACCATGCCCAGCTAATTTTTGTATTTTTAGTAAAGACAGGATTTCACTATGTTGGCCAGGCTGGTTTTGAACTCCTAGCCTCATGATCCGCCCACCTAGGCCTCCCAAAATTCTGGGATTATGAGTGTGAGCCACTGTGCTCAGCTTTATTATATGATTCTGCTTTTAAAGATCCAAAAAAATGCAGCAAGGAAAAAGTAGGAAGGAGCAGCAGAACAAAAGACAATTTTCCTATATTAAAAACGTTTCGAGCTGCCAACTAGTGCCAAACCTAAACACAATTAAGGTATTTCTAATCCTTGGAGTGATTACCCTTAAACAAAACAAACCTCAACTACTCAACCAATAGCATACATTTTTAAAATTTTTTGTATTGTTGCTGTGTGTTTTAATGATGGAAGCAGATATATAAAAAAAGAATAACTTGCTTTTCAATTCATTATAAAAGTCATCAGTGAGATAGAAGATCCTTGCAACCACCACTGAGTTCTTGCTCTTTACCATTGGTTAGCATCACCGTATTTCAGGAACAAGATGCCTTGTGATTCAATATGGTACTTATAACACACGATACAAATTATACGAATGGAGTGAAGGTACCGAGTTTCATCAAAGTTATATAATTTTAGCATCATTGTTTATATAATGAATGTCATATGCTGAACGTTAATATTTTGATGTGATTGGTAAGGCATAATTTTAGTTTTACCTCTTTTTTTGAATTAATTTCCATATCATTTTTGTTCTTTATTCATCAAAATACTTTCAAATATGTAAACACAGATAATGAATCTACTAAGTGTCTGTCTATTTTGACCTTGTTTACATCTTCCCATTGTTAGTTTTGTCAATATGTCCTTTGCCTTATTTTTGAATATCTACCTAAATAAATGTGTGCAACATTTTAAGTCAACATTTTATAATACATTCAAAACATGATTTCTTGCTGCATATTACTACAAATAACACAATGGAAAGGATTAGAGACTGTATGACATTTTTATGGTACCCAGGGCTCTACTCTGAGATAGTTTTCTTGTCACTATTTCCTAAAAGTAAAATGAAGAGCATTTTATTTGTATAATCAGAGGGTTTAGATATTAGAGTTTCAGTGTTTGGGCACATTGAGAGAAGGTTGAATTCTCTCTTTTTTTCCTCACTCTTCCTTCCCTACACACACACACACACACACACACACACACAAGCACAGATAGATGTACACCCTACCCGAAAGTTGATTCTCTTAATTATGATTTATGCCAAACCTGTTCTCAAAAGTGCTTTGTTTTCAAGTGTTTCGCAAATGGCGATGCATTATTGGAAAATTAATATTACATTTATAGAGTTAGCATTAAATTAAGAATTTTTTAAGTAAAAAAAATTAATTTTTATTTAACCTTTTGGAATAAAGCTACGATAAAAAGCAAGGCACATTTATGTTTTACTAATCATTTTTGCATATTACTTTTTATTTTTGCCATTTAATAATATTTATGCCTTCTTATGTTTTCATTTTACGTCTATTAACTTTTAGATATTCCATTTCTGACTCATTTCTTTTATCTAAATAAAGGTAGCCAAATAGTTGGGCTAAAGCATGAGGCAGCTATCATCCAGAAACTAAATGTTCCAATGACACTCTGTCTCCCTCTCTGATTAATTGATAAATGAGGGTCCAGCCAGAGACATCACACTAACACAATTTCCCAAACAATCAACCCAAACAGACATAGGTTAGACACAGAGAGGCAAATCCAAGTTTGGCCTTCCAATCTCAACTACGGGTTTATGGAATAGTGAAAATGTTGGACCTTCTTTTTGAGTCAATTGCCACCAGGGAACATATTTTAACAGGTAGAATGCTATTTTTTGGAGAAATGACAACTGAATCTTGGTTTTCCAGATTCGAGTGATGTATTACGTGGATTATTCAGGTTGCTGAACTTTAAAGCATAGCTAAAAACTTGAGATTCTCATGCAATTACAAGATTAAAGTGAGATAAATTGGCACTCACAGTTGTGGCAGGTGGCCCCACTGTATCCTGTCTCATCACAAGTGCATTTGAAGCTGTCCCATGTTTGCGAACACTTTCCACCATGCTCACAGTGATTGGGCACACATCTGTCAGAGAAAGAGACAAACAGAAATAAACCAACAACAAATGAGATTTATGAGTGGCCAAATTCCAAGCTGCCTGGGCAATATATCATTTCAATGCCAGGTTGTCTTACCAAGGTAATTAATCCTTGTTAGTTTAAGCAGATTAATATGATTCATGATGGAAGGTGCCAAGCGCAACAAAGATGATATATCACAGGCCTGGTGCTTCCCATTTTTGAGTAAACAGTAGATACTAACAAACAACTGAGGGATTTATTTGAATATCACAGATTCATCTTATTTTTCTTTTACCCCACAACAGAGACAACTACGTTTCCTCCTGGTAAAAGAAGATAAGCTGTCTTATTTCTTATTTTATTCAGTTCTTTATTAAGTCAAATACTGACTTAAAGAGGGGCATCACCAGGTTTTTCACAGCAATTTGAGTTTTTGAAATAATGCCATGACAACAGCAATGAAAATAGACTAAACGAGAAAGAAAGGGTTTCTAAGTCTTCCAAGCACCTCTCCCTATTTCCCACTGGATAATAAAAGCAGCCTACTTAAAGAGGCAGCAAGCATAACACAGGGGAAAAAGCACAGGTTTTGTGTTCAAATTTATATCTTTTCATTAAGATAACTAATTGTGACTACTTAATTTAATCTCTTTGAACCTTAGTTTTCACCTTTGAAAAATAGGACAATGATCTCTGTCTTACAAGTAATTTTAGGTTTGGAGATAATGTTCCTGAAGTATTAGTAGTTAATTAATAGGCAGGAAATAGTGGGCCAATAAATGGAAGCTGTAGGTATCTGAAACACAGCCTCCAGGGCACAGCTTGACTGTCCCTCAGAAATTGTGAGGTTGAAATTTGTCCTGAAACACCCGTTTCAATGGCACAAACCCTTTCCTTTCTCCTGGTTCCACCCTCATCTCTCCCATCAGTTCCTCTCTTCATCTACCCCACGACATGATTTTTTTTTTAATAATCCTGGTTAAGATGCTCACAGATAACAAAGGTATTCACTGTGATGCACCAGTATTCACAAAAGACATCTAGACTTTAGTAGGAAATTGTCAAAAATAGGAAAACTCTTCCAGATTAAAATAGCAGAATCTATAATCATGGGTCACAGGTAAAGGACAGATGAAAAGCCACCTTGCAAGCAACCCCTTTATCATAGTTCCCTAGTAGTTCCTTGCTACAAAATCTGATAGAGCTGGCCTCAGCAATAGCAATCTCCAACTCCTGTTCTCAATTTACCATTACCCATGCCTAAAGCCATCTATAGCAGGGGTTGGCTCAGTTTGGCATGGAGCCCCCTCCCTGCCCCCACCCCGAGTAGCTGTGCTGTTCTTCCACGAGTTTTTACAAACCTTTACTCCTGCAACAAACACTGATTGAGCACTTGCTTTAGGCACAGCCCTATGGAAAGCAGATGACGAACATTGTATTTACAGCCTTGCAGAAGAGCTTATGGTTTATATTGAAGTAGATGTAGTATGTATGAAAACCACAATACAAGGAAGAAATGGAAAACAGCATAATGCAGGGAAAAATAAAGTACTATGGGATTTCACACGAGGAATCACATGTACATTTTGGGCACAATTAAAAGTTTTTGGGTTGAGACTCAATAAAGGGACAGGACTGCAAGAGAAGAAAATGAGAGGAAAAAAACATTATTGGGGAACGATACAATATAAAGAAAAGCATCTTGTTGAATGATCATGAGGAATGGAAAATTCACCCAAAGTTTAATAGACTCTTTTTATAAAATTTGGGCTCTGTGTTATCAAGGCTACAAAGATCCTTTATCTTCAAAGATTTTACAGTTTGGCTGGAGGTGGGGCGGGGATCTGATTCATGAAAAATGCAAACCCAGAAGAATTTGATGAGTCATAAAAGAGATATGAAATGCTATAGAAATTTGGATAGTAGAGGAGTTACAGGTGGATAATAAATAAAGTGCTTCATGAAGTTCAGAACACTTCGCCTGGGCCTGAAGGGTTGTATGTTCATTATTAAAATGTTGAATATGGTGCCTAGCAGAATAGGTGAAAAAAGCATGGATAAGGAGGTGGAAGAGGGAAAGCAGTAGGTGGTCTGACCTTTCCTACAGCCACTATGCTGTACGAGCCCTGAGGCGCCCAGCCACACAGGGCAGAAGGTGTTTACATCCAGAGCAGGTGGTTCTCTGTATCATGGAAGGAAGCAATGGGCTAGACACTTCAAAATGACATAAAACTAAAACATCCTTGATACTTAGTTTTGGAATTCAGTATTTAGAGATGTTGTATGGTAAATTTACTTTCTAAATTATTGTGGGTTAATATTAGCTCAGCCTAATATTGAAAGTAATTCACATCAGCTCATTATATCAATTAATTCAGAAGTAGTGCAGAAGTGTAGTGAGTAGCAAAGGAAAACCAGGCTGTAATCTAATTGTGGCGTAAATAATGGGCAAAGTAGAAAATCATCTCCATGATAGAAAAGATTACGGTGTTCTTACACACACGCAAAAAGCCTGTACCATCAAGTGAGATTAAATTAATACAAGTTATCCCTCCGTATCTGTGGGGAGATTGTTCTACACTGCCTCCCTACCCTACAGATAATGGAATCCATGCATTTTCAAGTCCCTGTTATAAAATGGTATAGTATTTGCATATAATCTATGCATAGCCTCCCATATAATTTAAATCATCTCTAGATTACTTAGATTTATCACTGTAATTTTTTTAATTGTTTCTTTTCTATCTGCCATTCGTTGGATTCACAGATGGATTCACAAATATAGAGGTCCGACTATACTTCCAAAATTCAGTATTAAGGATTTCTTCAAAAGTATTTTATTGTATTTAGATGGAATTTTAATATTTCTCTTGTTTGTTTTTTATAATTCCTATTTTTATTATTTATTTCTGAGATAAAGTCTTGCTCTGTCACCCAGGCTGGAGTACAGTGGTGCCATCTTGGCTCGCTGCAACCTCTGCCTCCGGGTTCAAGTGATTCTCCTGCCTCAGCTTCCTGAGTAGCTGGGATTACAGGCATGCACCATGACATCTGGCTAATTTTTGTATTTTTAGTAGAGACAGAATTTCACCATGTTGGTCAGGCTGGTCTCAAACTCCTGACCTCAAGTGATCCACCCGCTCCAGCCTCCCAGAGTGCTGGGATTACAGGCATGAGCCACCATCCCTAGCCAGTTCTCCTTTTTAAAACTGACATTCTCCCTATGATGATTATGAACATTGTAATTCTTAATGATGGAAAATGCTTTATTTCCAAACCAACTTGATTCAAATATAATTGCAAACCCTATCACCATACATATTTCTTGAAAAGTTAGGGCCAGTTACCAAGCAAAATAAAATACTAATTAACCTAGCAGCCCCTTTCCTATTATTTCCTAGAACCAGTAACCTATGTCCAATACACTATTATTACACTGCTTAGTAATGATGTGTTGAGCACCTGTCTCTTCTGAACTGAGATTCCTACAATTAGCGGTTTTTATCTTACAGTCTTTTACATAACTAGGTGCACAGTCAGTAACCACCTATTGACACATTGACTGAAAGAATGGATGAATTCAATGCTAGAAAGTTACACCACAAAGAAATTGAAGTAATTTTAGAACAAATATTTCTTTTACTGTGAGAAATATACATTATTTGTTTCTATGATTTTATTCTCAAATCCAGATTCTTGCTCTAATAAACTAATTGTTTTAGTAGGCCACAGGGAATGCGTAATTTGTTTCATGGCATGTCCTAGCTTGAAAGTTTGATTCACATCAAAAATGAATCAAAATGACTCAACTGCTTCTACTTGAGAATGACTTGACTGGGATCAGGAAGATACAGGAGAGAAGTTCACAGGTATCAATGTGTTGTGATCAAAAGACTCCAGAAGAAGTGATGTATCAAATTAACTCCGGCTCCAGACAGCCCTGCTCTCTCCTTCGGAATTGTACTTTTAGTTTCAGCCTTTCAAAATGATTTAGAATCAAAATGCATTTTATTCAAATAACATTTATTTAGACTCCAATACATAAGACAAATGAAAGCTATATTTTGGAAGGTCAAGCGGGTTCCAATTACTTAATGCGAAATAAATCCACATAGACAGAGTGGCTGCTTAGATGGATGTCACAATTCACTCCAGGGCTATGAATGACAGTTGCACTTTTATTTTACCCATAGCATCCCTTTTATTTCTCAACTTGATTTTAATTGCAAAGCATTGGAAATTTGAGATTCACAAATAGAAGAAATTGCAAATGGTACCAGATTTGTTTGTTTGTAGTAGCTTACTTTGTAGTGTATGTGTATTACTTAATTAAGCAGGGATAGTGGAAGAAATTTTATTTCAAATCTAAAAATTGTTAGCTTGACAGCGTAACTGAATGCACTGGTAATCATCAAAGCACTTTGAAGGTGTTTTTCATCTACAGTGTTTAAAAGTTAAAATAGACATTTTAAAATTAAATTAAATCTTTGTGTTACCTTTGAAACCACATTTGGTTTTGTAAAACCTGACATGAAAACCAGTCATAGCACCATGACTCCAGAAATCACACGGAAATGTGTTCTGTTGGAACCATACAGCCATGAACAGTGCAGTGTTTATCAGAATAGCTTGCTGTTCTGTATAAACCGGATTCTTGGGACTCAAAAGCAATATTTCTCAAAGCTTTGTGTGCATAGGAATCTCTTGAAAATATTAAGATTCTGATTCTCGAGGTCAGGATTGGAGTCTGGGATTCTGAAATCCTAACAAGGTCCCCGGTGATGCTCATGTGGTCGGTCAGAGGACCAGGCTTTGAATAACAAGGCTGTAAAGTATCATACTTCTCTGCAGCATGGGGGTGCAAAGCAGAACACAAATGCTGAGTAGGAGGAGAAACAGCCCAGGAAGCGGGCACAAGGGGAGAAGACAGCATGGCATGCAGCCAGGGCAAAAACAATGTATTTAGTCATTTCTCCTAAGACTACTTTTCGATAGGTCCTCCTA